AAAAATATCTGATTCTTTTCAAATTTTGATAATGGCTTCTGTTTTTCAAATAGAAAAATGATTGAAGCAGAGTCAAAGAGTTATACTTATGTACGGTGAACAAAACAAAAAGGACAAGGCCGATTGAAAAAAAAACAATCGAAAGAGAATCACTGTAGGAGAAGTAACAAGAAAGACACTCAAACAAGACTGTGTCATAGTACAATCATCAATTGTGAATGTTGAGAGATTCCCTTTGGTCTTATTGATAGAATTCAATTTTTGTTTAGTATCTGATTCAAATCCTTTTTGATGTTATTTTGATTGCCAAAAAGGAATGGTAGATGTGTCTAAATGATTGATAGTTGGATTGAGAAGTGTAGTATTGATCTAATGATTGATAGTCAAGGTAGAAAGTGTAGTAACTGCTTGAGATTACTTTTGATTTATCGTTTTGATAGCTTAAAGTTGATAGTCGAAGTGAAAAGCATATCGATCGAGTTGGATCCCAGGGACTCCTGCAATTTGGAGCCAATCGTTCTCCTGGTGAATACCGGGGAGTTTGTTTTGGGCGGGTTGTGTTATATCGGTACTCAGTCGGTACATAGTCTCTCGGTAGTCTCTTGTAGTCTCTCGTCTCCCGGGGGGACTGATACGCCTACGCTCCGGTAAAGTAACAGAAACCTGAAATGGGGACGTTAACTTACTCTTGCTTGGTAACAAAATTACCAAATAACAAAGACTTAGGTTACGTTCGGCTCCAGTTTAACACATTAAGGAACATCAAGTTGCTGTGCATTTTGTTATTGCAAAAAGCGATAAATTGGTTTTTTTCTCTTTTTCACGTTTTTTTGTTAAATGTACCTTATAATGCAAAAAGTGTTCGGCGATGAAGTTGATTGAATTTGATCAACTTCAATCATCGAACTTGATCCATCACAAATCCTGTTGACCACAATCCTGAAATCATGTCAGACAACGATGAAACTTCTTCCGATGAAGACCAATGGAATTCATCCTCGTCATCGTCTTCAGCTTCATCATCGGACAGTGATGATGAAGTCCTTGCACTGCTCATCGGTGCTGCTCAAGACCGAATTGAGCTAGCGAACCGTCCAAAAATCCCCTGCCGAACTTCAGCACTTACCGGTGCCATGTATGCAAGGGAGGTTTATGAAGGCAGCCCAGTCCGCTTCCGAGAAGTGTGTAGAATGAACAAAGTGGCCTTTAAAGGCCTAATGCGACACCTTGAACCATATCTCGAAGATTTGATCCACCTCAGTTGCACCGAACAAGTGATGATATTTCTATTCCTTGTTGGACACGCTGGCGCCAATCGTCTTTCCGGGGAACGATTCCAACACTCTGGAGATACCATCTCGAGGTATTATAACAAGGTACTCTTGTCTCTTGAGGATCTAGAGGCTCGAATAATCAACCAACCACACCCGGGAACTCCAGTTCCAGAGGCTATCAGCGGGTCTCGAGTGACTTTTCCGTGGTTTCGAGGCTGTGTTGGAGCCATCGACGGAACACATATCCAAGCAATTGTTCCCGAGGCTGATCAGGCTCCTTATCGTAACCACAAAGGCACATTCAGTCAAAATGTCCTCGCTGCCTGTGATTTCGAAGGAAATTTCTCTTTCATCCTTGCTGGATTTGAAGGACGAGCACACGATAGCCGTGTTCTAGAGGTAGCACGAAGGGATGGCCGCTTCCTTGTACCACCAGGTAAGCATATGTAATCCGTGATTGATCATTAGAAAGTTTCAGATAGTTTCTAATGATCAATTCTTCAGGTCGATATTACCTCGCAGATGCTGGATTCACCAACCAAGTAGGCTTTTTAGCGCCTTACCGAGCCACCCGTTATCATCTAAAGCAATGGAGTATTGGTGGACGCCGCCCTCGAGACTACAAAGAGCTCTTCAACTTACGACATTCGAGTCTGCGTAACGTAATTGAACGGCTCTTTGGAGTATGGAAGATTTGCTTCAATACTCTGGTACATATGCAAAGATTCCCTGTTGAAAGACAGGCTTCGCTGGTTGTTGCCCTAGCAGTCCTTCACAATATAATCCAACAATGTGGCGAGGATAATTTCTTTGATGAGTATGATCAACAAGAAAGGGCAAGACAACTTACTTGGGATGAAGCTCGAATAGTGGCTTACCGTGCACCAACAGCTGCGGAGCGGGCTAATGCTACTGAAGACCGTGATGTCTTAGCTCAGGAAATGTGGGATGATTATCAATTACATCCACATTGCATTTAGGCAAACTCAAACCATTATGCACTGAATAACATATTTATTTCAAACTAGGACAAGGGATAAGAAAAATCACAACTTTGAGAATCTACAATAACTTTAACAATGTAGAATAGCATAAGAACAATAGTAGTTTAAATACAATAGCATTTAAGCAAAATAGTATTTTGTAATGATAAATTTGTAATGATAAATTTGTAATGATAAATTTGATTTTGATCTTTCTTCTTCTCTTCATCAATTGTCTCTTGCAAATATGCAAAACAAAGATCATCTTCTAATTCTAAAAAGAATTCGGCATTTTCTTCGTTTCTTAAGATCTTAGCTGCAGCCATACGATCGGAGACAGCTGGGAATTTCTCTTGACTGTGTTCTTTGAAGCGAGCCATAGCCTGAGGTTGATATCGTTGAGGAGGTGGAGGGTGGAGAGCTTCTCTCTTGATTCGAGCTGCTTCGACAAGTGCATCAGCGCAGGCATCAGCTCGGGCATCCTTTCGATTTTCTTTTTCGATTAAAGCTTGAGTCTTGAGGGTCGAATTTTCAGTGACTAGCTTGAGTGAGCTTGCCAAGTTCACTGGAGGCTTATAAGATCCACTTGGCTTGGAAGAGGATGTGTTGGTGGGTTTGGGGATGGTAGCATCCGAAGTGAAAGGCTTTTTTGCAGCCGAAGGAGCTGTCTTTGCTCTAGCTGACGAGTTCGACAGTATGGGAGGATTGGCAGGCCTGGGTGGAAGTGGTGGTGGTGGGAGTGTATCGTCTGCATCAGATGAGTCACCTGTATTGAAATAACAGAATAGGTGAACAAGAAAGAACATTTCAATGGTAAATTGAAAGGAAATGCACTTACCCGCCAATTCAACTACTTTCTTTTTTCCTTTATCACCTCGATCAATATGCTCTTCGTCGTCATTGCTGTTGTCAAGCGCCTCCTCTGAGGCAGTTAGTGAATACTTTCGTTTTCGATTCTGGGTACTGGTGCCTGTTCGATTTGCACCAGAAAGCGGAGTTGAACCTAGAAGAAGATCCATGGCCTTGTAGAAATCGAATCCATGATCTTTGAAGATATGCGATCCTTTGTGTCCCTGCAATACATTATAGTGTAAATATAAATGAATCAGAGAACAGATCAAGTTGAGATGACCTACAGCAACCCAACCGGCCCAGAATTCTTCATCTCCATCAACAGTGTCTTTTTCTACACTCCAGCCCAAACCTGATCCTTCTTTAAGCTCGCGCATCAAACCATAATGTCGCTTGAGCTGTATAGAAGGATGAAAACACAAAATCAGCTGATGTACAGGTTCGAGTTCATTTGACATGAAATCAAAAGAAGTGACAATATGAATCTGAGTGATGAAATAGACCGAAGTGAAAATGCTTACTGTACCATAGTGATTCTTTGCTTGAGTGATGTCACGGTCAATTTCATGAGTATCATTCAACTCTTTGACAGCTTTTCCCCAAACAGTTGGCGGAAAGTTGTTGTCGGATCTATCGTTGTCATGACTCAAGTCTAGAAGGGAGTTGAGTAAGGTGTGTGTTTGGGCTTCGGTCCACTTAGCTTGAGGCTTTGCAGGCTGTGAGCTAGACTTCGGTCGACCCATTGATCTCGAGTGATTGATTGAGGAGTTTGAAAACCGAATCCAAAAGGTGAGTGGTGAAAAGTGGTGAAAGGGTGAAGTCGTACGAAGGTTGAGATTTGGAAAAAAAAGGAGAAGTACGATTTTTACCTAAGGGAGGACCGATGAACGATGCGGAGTACAAAGGTCGGGGCCAGTTTCCAGCTGGATCAAAAGGGGATAATGTACCTTTTCAGCGAAATAATCGACTGTAGAGTCGATTATTTTTAAATCACGTTTTGGTACATTATCGGCAGTTTAAGCTGATTAAAATTCTGCATTAAAACTCTGCCGAACAACATTTTTTTAATGTGCATTAAATTAAAATTTTAATGTACATTATCGGTTTAAGGTGCATTAAAATGCACCTGCCGAACGTAACCTTAGAGTTTTTGGTGCGAAGCCTGAAGCCTAAGCCCCAGGACATAAATTTCTGAATAATAAAAACACGCCCTACGGGGTGGCTAGCGGACACTAATAATAACTAAGACTAAGACTAAACAATACCACAACTACGCTAAAAAAAGATGACAAAAGAAAGAAAAAATAAAGAAAAAGAAAAAAGAACATATAACAAAGAATAAAACATAGCCTAAACATAAAATAATAATGATGACAAATAAAATAAACAAAAAGAACCATAATGACAAAAAATAACAAACAACTAACAAAATTGTCACAAGGAAACTAAAAAGAAAATATAGAAACTTGAAACGAAACGACCAGGAACTTGAACAAAAAATTTCAAAAAATATATAAAAAAATAAAAGCTAAATCACGACTGAATGAAAGGGAAAAGGGCGGGAGGGTCAAAAACTACGATGAATAATAGAATAAGAAAGAAACTGTTGATTCAAATATAAGAATTCGACGGAAGTGACTGCAATGGGATAGTTGGTAAAGACGGTGGTCAACAGCTATGATGTCATAGCTGTGGAACAAATCATATTCAAAGAAAAGACCGACCCGTCAGTACATATACACATGTAATAAACCAACTTCCCATTCCACTCTGTTAATAACAAGTTACCAACAACGATTCTTTAGAAATGGTTTGGTGGACAGTGCTTATTGGGATTATAACATAATTACCATAAGCGCACGATAGCAACTTACCTAAGCATAAGAAACTTAGAGAATGGAACATAATTACATCCAGCCTATACAAAAAAAATCCAATCACATTCACAAAAGCAACAAAAAATGAAAAATAAAAAACAATCAGAAGATTTCAAATGATTTTAACGAGTGAGTATCGATCGAGTCGAATGAATGAAAAGAGAATGTATATTCTCGTGTCCAAAAGACCTGGTGAACCCAAAAATGAGCTTGACAAATGATCGAGAAATAGTAAAGTTCTCAGGTTCAAAAAAACAAAAAGATTGACCAAAAACAAGAAGCGGAGAGAAAGAATGCAAGGGGTATCAGAGTATCAAGGGCTTGGATGAATCCATGTACAGTTTAACACATCCCACACTAGCTACGTCAACGAGCTAAATCAGACATCAGGCGTATGAGACTATGTGCTCAAAGAAAGCGCGGTTTCAGTGGACTTGAGGGCTGGCAAGGAGGATAGAGAGGTTCAGCATCCAATTTTTCTGCAGTTTGCGAGCCTTCCGTTGATGAAAAGATTTTCTCATTTGATTTCGGTGGGCCAGGCGCTCGAACGTTTGCGAATTTTGAGTACGTATTCGCTGGTGGAGCAGCTTCAACGTCGGTAAAGACGACACGATCAATCCGTACACCAACACCTTCCAGTGGTGTGGCATTGAAGATATTGTTCTGTTTCAACATTTGCATTACAGTCTCAGAGTCAGCCTAAGGTACAGATGATTTCACTGGCATAATTCAACTTACCGCAGGGAGGCGAGTGGCTGCGAAGCTCTTGTCACTACTTGCTGCCAGCGTTTTTGCAAAGCCAGAACGTGAATTGAGTGTAACAACCTGTAGACACACAGAACGTTAACATAGTTCGAGAAGAGAAAATCGCAAACATCGACAACTTACCACAGAAAGGAGATACAATTGGGCGGCAGGCAGACTATTCCATTGGTGTGATAGATATAAGTGAGGGGTCAAGGCGAGGGTGGGTCAATTACAAAGGTGCACTCACGTGAGCGCATACAGGATTCCGAGACCAACGTGACCCAAGATGACGATAGAAACCACGGCCAATGCAGTGGTGAAGAAACTATCAAGCGAACGTCAAAAAGTATGAGCAAGTATATCAAGATAAAGAACTTTTGACCGGCCTGACCTTGTCTGAAATGAGAGCATAATGATTTCATTTATAACACTTTAGAGAAAGACATTGGTGAGCATTGAGAATCGAGTGCCGAGAATACAACATTTGCGAGCAAGAACACTCACGATCGAGTTTTGGTGAACTGTGTCTTTTGAGTCTTCAAGAATAGGTAGAGGGCGACAGTGAGGAACATATCTCCAGCGATCTATGAAGGTATGTCGAGTCAGTAGCTGAAAAGACTGAATAATTCAAAATGCAAGTTGAGCGTACCGCGCCGGAGTAAAGCCTGTGACGGAATGAGGGATAACGTTAGCTCAGAGGCAATCTAGATAAAAAAGGCGTTGATGACTCACAAGTAAAGGATTACTAGCAATGAAAGCTCAGAGTATCTCTTAGTTTGGATGAAATGGGTTGACACCATGATTGAGAGACCAAAATGATATAGCGAGAGTACGATCGAAACAATAGTAATTGGGATGTTGTGGTTGGAGAACACATAGAGTCGATAAGTAAAAAAGAGTTGCGCTACAAAAGTCGTGTAAAACTTGTTTCGTCAGAACCAGAAGATGATGATGGTGGACAAAGGCTCACATATCGTTACGACCACTCGTGACAGCAAGATGTGAACTCTAATGGCGAACCGATGGAAATACATAGCAGATCCGGTCAATATGACGAGATGCATGTGTTGACCGGATTGGACAATTGGAAAACCGAAGGTCACTCACCCTAATTCTGGTATGGCCACATCTAAACCTTGATAATCCCCAAAGTGCAAGACGGAGTAATAGTAGACGATCACGACGAAAGACCTTTAAGGA